CCCTTAGTTGAGTTGTGAGCCGCCCTGAGTCCCCTTCGGGGGAAAAGGGCGACATATAAATAAAATAAACATCAAACATCAACATCAAACATGATCTCACAAGGCAGGCCACTATTGTTATTCCCTTGTTGTGGTGGGCGTGTGGGCTAAGAAAAAGTAGACACCACCACCCCCTTCCACCCAGTGAGTTACTTTCAGAGGTGATTTGGAATGGAAAATGTTCAAGCTTATATTCTTTGCAACTCTACTACATCGAATATAAACACATCTGCTGCTACCTACACAAACTTCCAGGATAGAAGGAATTAGATTTCTAATGAAAATGCTTTAGAACCAAAAAAAAAAAAAAAGAAGACCAGGAAATTCTCTGGTCTAGTGATTAAGGCTCCAGGCTAGAAAATTTCAGACATGCAAGCAAGCCAGTGACTTTGAGCTAGTTTGAAAAAGTGATTGGCCCGGCCCACCTTGCAGGGTTTTTGTTATGGGGAAAATAGGAGGATGAAAGAGTATTAGATCTTTGCCTTCTTCAGTTTTATAAAAATAATAAAGTCATTTTTTAAAAAATACTTTCATCTTTAGTTATTATTGGCAGTAGAATGTTCTGTCAGCCTTGGCCTTATCCCGAGTCCTTCTAACACTGGCTTTGTTTTGTTCATCGGCCACAATTTCCCACAGTTTTTTTTTTTTTTGTAGTATAAAGTACCTGACAGCTATAAAAGAGAAGGGAGTCAAGAGAAGCCATCATTATAATGACAGTTTGCTCTCCATCATCACAAAAAAGATGTGATGAGCCTTTCTCTACTAAGAAGGACTACTGGGAAAGACTAAAAACATGAAATTGGGGAAGAAAAAGGCTACTTAAGAATGAGTCTGGAATAAAGAGAAGAAGAAGAACAAGAAGAAGAAGAAAAAAGAAAAAGAAAGAAAGAAAGAAAGAAAGAAAGAATTGTAGCCTAATGGTATATGGAGAAATGTTATAAGAAACTGCCTGGATGAATAATAAAGATGAAGGAATAGGCTGGCAATGTAAATCTGGCTTGATAATATACGCAAATCTAGAATGCAGTGAAAGGGTGGAAATTCTTATTAGTGTTTCTGTCTCTCTCCGTAAAGCCTCTATGCCAATTTCCTTCTGCTGCCAGAAATAATTGAGTCTGATTTAGTATCTGTCCTGGTAAGAATCCATGCAAAGTTCAGGAAATTGGTTAGATTTTCCCTGCCTGGGTTTGGTTGGGGTTTTTTTTTTTGGACGTGGTTTTCTTCCTATCCTGGTTCAGAATATTGCCGAAACTGTTTGGGGAGAATGATATCCATATCCAATATTTCCACAACCCTCTTTCCAAGCTCTTGATTTACCTTCAGCCTCTTGGCTTCCAAATCCCTGGATTCTTTCAAAGGTCGAGGCTCTGTTGTCCTGCAAAGTTTCTGATGGGAGATGCAGTGAATTGAGAGAAGCTCACTGTAGGGAGCATCTGATCTGTTTCAAGGTGGTTTAACATTGCTGCTTCAGTTGCCCAGGCACACCCCAATAACAAATACCCTAGAGATTATTATCCGAATTATCTGGGGTTGGCAGTGATAAAATGCTATAATCATCCCTGGGACCCACATCCCTTCTTCTCTTTCCCAGCGTAGATCAGAAACAGCAGGTTGACTTATGTGGAGGACATCAACTGTAATTTGGGCTAAAATGAAATATTAAAAAGGAAATTTCATTCTTGCTGATAACGGCTGGTGCGGCTGAAAGATAAGGTGATATCTCCAATGTTTGTGACAGAGTTGGTTTGATGTATCACTGTTGATTGGGGGGGGGTAGAAAATCTGGGACATTTTTACTCTTGGGGCTATATTGGATATCAGCAAACATGCCTACTATTGCAAAATGAAAACAAAGAAAAAACCCAGCCAAAATACCATTTCTTGTTTTGTCCTAGAATTACTCGGCAAAAGTTGAAACGTGCTTCTAATAATTCTCTTATTAGGAAATGTGAATGGCCTGCAGAACAGCCTTCTACAACCATTATTGCTAAAGGAAGTTCCTATAAAT